CGGAGGGAGGGAGAGAGGAGGGAGCGGGGGTGGGGCGCACAGACGATTCCAACAGGAGACTGGAAGAGATTTTGAAAGGTCATCTCGTCCTTCCCCCAGCCTCCTAGCAGGACTGCCCCTCCCACCCTAGACCCGGACATACCAGGGAAGGAGTTGGCTCTGCCGCTGTTTCTGCCCCAACATGCACAGACTCGGAGAAGTTCTTCCTGGGGTTTTATCTCAAAGCCTCTCCCTTACAATTTCTGTCTCTTTTTGGGGAGGAGGAGGGGCGATTATAGAGATAGTTAATGTCTGCCGTATAAGAAACATTATTAAAGTTACTCTTCCGTCCTTTCTGTTCTTGATAAACAATTCTCGTTCTTCTCTCTCGAATTCTATTTTCCATTCTTTAAGACACTTAAATGGCTCTTCAAAACAACAAATATTTACTGAGTGCTTACCAAGTACCAGACACTGTGCTCAGAGCTGTGGGGGATGCCCAGATGAGGGGGATGCGATATGTTCCCTTGAGGAGACTGTAATCTGGGCGATGGCTACAAACTTGTAAGTAGTATATTCAGATTTGGTCAATATTTACAGAATGCCTGTTCACGCATTTAATAGTATGGAATCCTTAACAATAACGTTCTAATATAATTAGTTCTCATTTGCAGGTAAGAAAAATGAGGCTCAAGGAGTTTCTTTCCCCACTGGCCTGCAAGTTTAAGGATCCTCATTGCAAGCCCAACATCTCACATCACCATTAAATTAATTTTATTTACGGGGATTGAAGAGGTAGAAATAGACAACAGTTCTCTAGATTCCTTTAAAATGTGATTCCCACTTCCCAAGAAAGAAAAATAGATACAGTGTTCCAAGGATATTGACCCAGCACTGAGTAGGGCAGGAATGGCTTATAAGGAAGGCCATGTGCTTCCCAGGATCCTGTCCAAGGAACTACCTGCCAGGGTTCTTCTGGCTCAGTTTCTCCTATCATCAATATTAATGATAATAGCTACTAAGGATTATGAATACATACGTGTTAGGTGTTGGGTTAAGCTAGCTAATATGCATTTTCTCTTCTAATGCTCAAGGCAACCCCTTGAAATTGGTATTAACTTCCCTTTATAGATAAGGAAACAGATTAAGCAACTTGTTCAAGGTCATCCAGGTGGATCTGGGACTCGTTCTCTCCAGACCTCAGGCTCTGTGCCAAGATGGGCCTTTCCTATCTTTGAGTTGTATATATTCAGGCCCAGCTTTTTCTGCTGTACAAATAAATATCCCCATCTTAGGTTCTTTAGTAAGTCCTCAGGCACATCAGTATGACCTCATCAGCAGCGTTAATGGTTATTAACCACTCACCCCGAATCAACAACCTTTCACGGCAGGGGCACGTTGTTACCTTCCTTTTATCAGTGAACAAACTGAGGTTGAAATAAGTAAAATAATATGTCCAAGGTCACACAGCTGGGAAACTTGCAGAACTGAGTCTAGCCCAGGCTGCAACGTTTAATATTAAGAAATATTAAAACAATATTTCTTCTTTCAGAAATATTGTTTTAATAGTACCTTTCCCAAGAAAGGTACACGAGACTTGGGGACCATCTACATATGTCTAAGTGCAGTTTATCACTGAGTCAAAACCAATCCCCACTAAAAACAGTGCTCTCCATCCACTTAGCATCCAATTCAGAGTAAAACTTTCAAGAAATTACAAAGAGAAAGAGTGAGAGACAGGAAAGTTAGGGGAATTAAAACTTATCAGGGTTAGGGACAAAGCTGCAAGTGGTAATAAGCAGTCCAAAGAGTTATATGGAATCTTACTAGGGCAGAGTAAGTGATTTGATGAAGAAACCAAAGAAAGAAAAAAAGATGATGGAATATAGGGAAATTGAGGTCCAGGATTGAAAGTATCCAAAGGGATGTGGTGAGTGAATGAATCCAAAAGAGGAAACCAGATGGGCAGAAATGGGAGCAATTGAAATAGGAACAAAATGAGACAGGGCTGAATATCTTGTGAACTAAGGTTGGTGTCTACCCAGGGCCACTCCCTAGATCCTTAGGCCCTTACTGGGACCTTTGCCCAACCACAGCCCAGCTCTGTCGGCCTTTCTCAGACAGGACAAGTTTTTCATCTGCTCTGAAATACCAGGCCCCCAAAGAGTCCCAGGACCCATCTGAGTCCCATCCATTTGGAGTAGCTGCTTCAAACTAGGTAGGTGTAAGGTCCTGGGCCTCAATTCCCTTAATTTTGGTAGTGGGTAGAGTGGTAACTGGGAGAGAGATAGCATGTCCTATCTCCTGAAGGACAAGCCCATAATGAATTTTTCCAACCTAGGAAGCACCTAGCTCTTGTGGTCAAGAGAATGATGGAGGATGGAGCCAATCTGCAAGAGCAGGAGAGACCCAGCCTTCGTCTGGAAAAGCTACAGCACTGGGCAAGGCACAAGCAAAATGGACAGCTTTTGGTGCTGGCGGTGAGGCCAGGCTGTCCCACCCCAGGTCTCAGCATGTCCACTTGTATCCAATTCAGTTCCATCCATGTTCAGTGAGCACCTACCATGTGCCAGAAATTGTGCTAGGCTCTTAGTGGGAGGAGGGTGGAAGAAACAGACGAAAAAATAAAAAAAAATAAAAAGCAAGAACCTTAATCTCCATGTAGCTTCTGTCCGATGGGGAAAACAGAAGTAAGTAAACTGCAACATGAGGCAGAACAAATTAAACGGCACTTAATTTTTAAATCTTACTTCCTTTGCTGCCCTTGGTTGACTACTTTCCTTCTGCCATGTATTTATCCCAATTATTTTCCAGGAGGGAAAAGAATCCTTGACAGTTCCCTGCTAAAATACCCTGCTCTGGTCTCCAGGTGACCCAGATATGGCTGGCATTAGTTGTGGTACCCTTTACTGTCTCAGTCGCCTGCCTGAACTCTGCTTGTCACATGGCCACAGCACTGCCACTTGGGTCTGGAGTCTCAGTAAGACCTGTCACAGGGAGGGTAGAAGGAAGGTTCTGGGGACACCTCCCTAATGGGAACAGAGTTTAAATTTGTGCTTATTACCATTCAGGGTCTCCTAACTGGGACTGTCACCCTTGAGCTTCGCAGAGCACCCCGCCTCTGGAAGGTGAGTGGGAAAAGCATGCAGTACTGTCCTCCCACCCCCCAAAATACACACACACACACACACACCCCTCAACTCAGGAAGTAAGTGATTAAATGTTGACTAATCCTCTGCTGTCTGTCCCTGGCTGGCCTAAAAGACTATGGAGAGAAAGCAAGAAAGTTAGAGGGCTGATGGTCCTGTCCCATTTGGAGAAGAAACAAGAGCTGAGCTTTGTTTTCAGCTAGGCTCCAGGTGGGGATTGATGTTGGAATGAGTCCCCTAGGCTGGGCAGTGCTGAACTGGTTCACTGGCAGGTACGGGCCATGATGATATTCAACACCTTCAACCTGATCTTGGGATTCATTGCGGTGGTGGTCGAGGTGATGAAGACAGCTTTGGGGCCTTCTCCCACAGCCTCCTCCCAGGTACTGGTGAATGAAGAGGTGGGAGGAGGAGGAAGCAAGAGATGGAAAGGGAAAGGGCAGGGAAAAACAGGTGTTGGGTCCCCACAGCATCCTCAGCCCTGTCTACCTGCAGCTGGTGGGCTTGCTGGTGCTGGAGCTCAGCGCTGAGGTCTTCACCCTAGGAGGTGTGCTGGCCTCCGCATATGCCCTATTTTTACTGAGCCAAAGGAAGCCAGGATGCTTCAGGAGCCAGAGTCTGCACTACCAGGAACTGCAAGAGGTATTGGGGGCAGGAAGGAAAGCATGGAGCAGCTAGCTGCCTCCTAATTTTTCCGTTGGCAATCCTGGTCAGTGGCATTTAAGGGGAGCAGTGGGACAGAAGGGAAATGAGGGATCCTGAATTGAAACTGATTGGCTTTCTGGCTTGGGACATCTTTTCCCCTAATGGTGGGTAAGAGGGAATTGGGTATCCAAATGACTGGGACTAGAATAGACAAGCAATAGGAAGCTACCCAGATTTATTGGAAGAACTATGAGAGAAAAAAAATGGGGGAGGAAGAAGTTGCTTCCGTCTGGGCTATCTCCTTTCTAATCCCTACAATTCACTTACACTTTTATCTGCTTTTCAGGGCCTTTCTGAGGTCGAAGAGGTTCCTGGTTTGGAAAATGGTACTATAGTGGCCAGCACAGGAAACCGAAATGAGTGAGCTGCGAGAGCAAGGGGATGCAGACAGCATCTACAGCCCTTCTCTCTTGAGGGAGCACCCTCCAGATTGCCCCGCATGCCACCCCAGCAAACTCAGAAGATAGCATGAGGTCTAGTGGAGTTCTTTCTTGTCCCTTCCCCACTAGATGAAAATATACCTGTACCTGAGTCCTCCATCTCACTTCACCGCCCTGTAAAGGGGCTTCCTCCCTTCCATCCTTGCCCTCCTCTCCCCACTGCTTCTTTCTTAGATTCGGGTCTGGTCCACTCTAACAGAGCCTACAAGTCCCAGGATGCCCCGCTACCCCGTGACCTTCTGGGAAATAAAGAGCCTTCCCTCCGCGGCAGGGGCGCTGTGCATCTGCCGAGTGACGCGAGGCGCTGCAAGTCAAGGCCTAGCCGAGAGTTTCCTCGGGCGCGACCACTGGGCCCGCTAGCGGGGAGAAGCCGGGCGGGCGGTCGTGCGCCGGGGCGCCATACAGCAGCCACGCAACCGCTAGAGGACTCTGGGCCCTCGCCCCTCCCTCTGTCAGCTTCCGAGCTCGTCGACGGCTGGGAATGGCGCTTGGCAGAGCTGGGGGTTCGCAGGTGCTCTCGCCGCGCCCCCTCGCACGAGTGCTCAGGTCCAAAGTCCTGAGACTTGGAGCGCGCGCGAGAAGGAGGTTGGAGACGATGAGTCAGGAGCGCGGGGCCTTTCTCGTCCCCCTCCCCCCCCACGTCCTGGGCGTCTGCGGATAACAGGCTCGCTGGGCAGGCCAGTGGACCCGGCAGGCAGAGGGAAGGACGTGGCGACCCGACTTTCCCGCCTATTGCTAGCACGCGGATGTAAAGAGCCTTTCCAAGGCGGGAGCGGTACTGCGCACACTCAGCCTCTGCGCAGCTCCGCGGACCTTTGATCCCGGGCTGCAGTCTGGTTACTGAAGCTCTGCTTGCACTCAGCCCTCACCGTTTATGACCTTTGCAAGTGTACAAAGATAACAAGCTCGGGTGGGCCTAGGGAAAAGCCAGAAAACTGAGAGTCCCCGTAGCACCAGTCGGGCAGCTTAGCCGCTAGCACTAGAAATTGATCAGAGCTGGAGTACTAAGAGAACTCACCCCAAATTCACATAGTGCCCAGGATGGGTATTCTCCTCACACTCATTTTTGTTCCCACTTGAGAAGGCTTCTTTCCCTAGAGAATGCTGCTTCTTAGGGCTCAGCTAAGCCCAAGCACCAGTGAGGGTACAGCGCTGCCTGGCTGTCTTGTCTTGACATTGCAGTGGCGCCAGCTACAATTCCTTTCTGTTTGTGACACCTTGGGAGTGGTAATAGTCGCCCTATGAAAAGTTAAGTGTGAGTATTAGTGGGTGGGGACAGTTCTGGGATCAGCTCTGGAATAGAGAAAAAAAGATCTGTGCCTCTTCTTCCTCCCCACAACCTAACAGAATAAAGGAGGATTCATGAATGAAAGACTCCAAGGAAAGAACTTTTTAACGTCAGAAGGTGGTGGTAGATTAGGAAACTGGTGTGTGTGGGGGGGGCGTCCGTATTCAACAATTTGCTCTGGCTTTCAGCTTTTATAATGTTATCAAAAGTCTAGATATTGCTTTCTAGTTCTTAGAAAAACTCAAACACCATGCAAATGAACCTTGTGCCAAGTTACACTAGATGATGCTGTGGTAATAACGCTAAAACTTCGATGGCTTAAAACCAGAAAGGTTTATTTCTCATACTACATGTCCAAAGTAGGTTGACAAGGATCTCTGCGCACTGTAAGTTATTTGGGTACTCAAGCTCAAGAATCCCACCATTTTGAAGCCCTACGGTGTCCCTATGAGGTGTAAAGTTACTCCCTCCAAAATGTGAATTAAGCATGAAGAAATATTCATGTCCCTAAAGGGATATATGTTACGTCCACTCACAGTTCATTGACCAAAGTAAGGCATATATCAGTCAACTTTAAGGAAGCAGGAAGGGCATTTTTATCACGTGTGGAAGGAGAAGGAAGGCAGAAATACTTCATTAAGAGAAAAAGAGTCGTTTGTGGTGATTCTTGAACAACTTAGCACTTGGAACTCATCAGTTCTAACAGTCATGCCCATTCTTGCATTACTGATTTGATTCCATAAAACTCCTAAGTGTGTGTGTGTGTGTGTGTGTGTGTGTGTATTTATTTATTTATATTTAATGTATCTTTATTATTTTATTTACTTATTTATATGTGGTGCTGAGAATCAAACCCAGTGCCTCACACATGCTAGGCAAGCGCTCTACCACCACAGAGCCACACAACCCCAGCCCCCTAAGTGAAGTTCTTAATAGAACTTTTCCTTCAAATAATAATAGGATGGGGTGTAAGGAAATCTAGTTTCTGATTCTGTTGCTTGAGCAAATCAAATCTCTAAACTACATTTTGTTCACATGGAAATTATAATGATATTTATCCTCAGATTACTGAAGAATCAAGGCTACAATAAAAATCACAAGGAAAAATAAACAATAATCTGGTGCTGGTGCTGGCTCAATGGTAAAGCATTTGCTTATAATGTGCCCTGGGTTCAATCTGAGCACAGAAAAAAAAAAAAAACTATAGAGTACTTCAGGAGTTGAAAATAAATTGCCTATATTGATTTAAATGGCTGAAACAGATGGTTATGAGGGAATAGGGAGTGGTAGGAACTGTAGCAAAGTAGAGGATACACTTTTTTTAATTTCAGTTATTGGGGATTGAGGGCTGGGGATATAGCTCAATTGGTAGAGTGCTTGGCTTGCATGCACAAGGCCCTGGGTTCGATCCCCAGCCCTATTTTGTATTTTATTTAGAAACAGAGTCTATGGGCTGGGGATGTGGCTCAAGTGGTAGTGCGCTCGCCTGGCATGTGTGCGGTCCGGGTTGGATCCTTAGCACCACAAAGAAAGATGTTGTGTCTGCCAAAAACTAAAAAAGTAAGTAAATAAATAAATATTAAAATTCTCTCTCACTCTCTTAAAAAAAAAAAAAAGAAAGAAACAGAGTCTCACTGAGTTACTTAGCACCTCACCATTGCTGAGGCTGGCTTTGAACTCACAATCCTCCTGTTTCAGCCTCCTGAGCCACTGGGATTACAGGCGTGCACCACCGCACCTAACAAGGATACACATTTTATTTAAATGAACATTTCCACTCATCTCTATCAATTATTGCCATTTAGGACTGTGGACTTCATAATGCCATACCTTCAGTGTTCCTGCAGAAGACAGACATTCTGACTTGTAAAATATGAAACATTCTGATTTTAAAATATTTATAACTGTTTTTTTTTTTTTTTTAATTCAAGGGCCAGATTCGGCCTGTAGTCCTTCAATTGTCATTCTCGACATTACACAAACATATGGTAGGAATTCAGGATTTGGATGTACAATATGGTTCATGTAGACTTATGAAATATGTGTCTTGGAGGGAAGAAATAAAATTCTTGGTTTTCAGGAAAAGGTCATTTTTGCAACCCTGAGGATATTGTGCAATATCTTGAGACATTTTTGATAGTTACAACTAGGGAGGGGAGGGCAAGGGAATATATAGCAGAAGGACCATTAGAAGAAAAAGATTTGGGGCATACTCCCATGCTACTAATGCCCTTTCAATACCCTTTGCCAGCTGCAAGCAAAGAATGTTTGAAACTTGTCCTGTGTTTCTCATGATCTCCCCCACCCACCCCACACATTATTGCCAGAGTCCTTGACTGTTCCATGACAGCATTCTGCTTTGCTGCATTCCTCCCCAGCAACCACTGTATCTGCCCCATTCTTCATCAATTTGGCAGCCTCTGTGGAGATCTCTCATTTTACTTGAATTAGAACTTTACAGAAAGAAGGGACTGTGACAAGGCTCCTGCTGACGTCAATTTTTAAAGGCCATGACCCCTATCTCCTGCTTTCAAGCAATGGAAAAATAACCCTTTCATGATATGTGGCTTCATACGCAGTTGAATTCTGTGATTGGAAGAGTCTTCAGGTTGATTAATTTTACCCTCATTTCTTTAAAATCCAGTCATTCATGCCGAATGTATGATTATAGACAAATGACAATATTTTCCCAAATTGTCTTCAGTTTCTCGACCTGTTTTTTTGCAAGATGGCTCGGGTTTTTTGTCCCAGGCTGCGTCCTCTGCTGCCATCTAGTGGCCTTTTTGCTGCCCAGGTCGAAGTCTCACGAAGCGCTTTCCTTCAAGGTAATGGCGTTTAGTGGTGGTTTAATTGGGCAAAGAATCCTCGCACCCTCTGGGGCCTCAGCAAATTCTTCCCCTACAGTGGGTCGGCAGACAGCTGCGACGCTCGCGGCCCGGGCGTGGACCCTGGGCATAGCGCAGGGGCGGGAGGCGCAGGTTCCCTTCTAGTCATCTGTGCCCTCATGGGCCTCTGGGACTGTTATGCAATCCTGGCCAGGAGCCACGAAAATCAGTGAACTCAACTGCCCAGCAGTAATCTGAGCTGACCTCGCCAGCTTGGCCTTATGACTGCTCGGCAGCCTCTTGTCACTGGCCACCTGAGGCTTGGATGCTGTTCAGTTCAATGAGAAGTGGAGACACCCCCCATCGGGTTTCCTGATTCTATTTTCATGTGTAGGCGGGGTTAGTGTTCTCTAGGTCCATGTATTTTCTCTTGGTGGGCCTAACTGGTGCTGCCTCAAATTCGACAATGAACTGGTGGACCGAGCAGGACCATGGCAGTGCTGCAGTCACTACTTCAATACGATGGGATCTGTGCTCTAGGGATTGGAGGTCCATCTCCAGTGGACAGGGAATCTAGGAACTGCCTTGAGCTGGAACGCTTGCAACTGAGCAGTGACTCAGCACAGAAGGAAAGGCAGGAAAACGTTTTTAGTTTGTGCTTGGTTTTTGTTTGTTTCCGTTGTAATAATGCCTACCTCTCATATGTATACAGCTTACACTCTTCCAGTTGCTAACAAGAGCTTGTTGTAGAACCGTGTCCTCCCCTGAATACATCCTTGCCCTGTAATAACACCCATAATAACACCTAACCTAAGAGGAAGCAAGGAGGAAGGGGCCTGACTACCCTGACTATCTTAGCCTGCATTCCCCTTTATAATAATTCAGCGGGAAGGACCTGCTTATACAATTTGCTAGGTCAGGAACAGCCATACTTGGAGGTAGATTACTGCTAATGTGGCGTGTGCTACTTTGTAAAAATCAAATAAAGGCCAGCTGGCATGGTGGCTCATGCCTGTAATCCCAACTGTTGGGGGAGCCTGAGGCAGGAGGATTGCAAGTTCAAAGCCAACCTCAGCAACTTAGCAAGGCCCTAGGTAATTTAGGGAGAACCTAAAAATAAAAAATGCTGGGGATGTGGCTCAGTGGTTAAGTGCCCCTGGGTTCAATCAATAAAATCAAAATCAGATAATTAGAGGCCATTTACCCTTTCTCCTTCTCCTCCTCCTCCTCCTCTTCCTCTTGTGTGTTTGTTTGCATGCACACTCTGGAATGAGACCTCTTGCCTGCTAGGGAAGCACTCTACCACAGAGCTACACGCCTGGCCCCATATACTGTTTACATCATGGGAGTCATCTTCTATTTCTTTAATGTTCTTTAGTCTTTGCTTACTTTTTTTTTCTTGCCTAATTTTATTAATATTTTTTGTTGTGTGCTTTTCTGTTTGTTTCTTTCCCCCCCTCCCAGTACTAGGAATTGAACCCAGGGGTGCTCAGCCATTGAGCTACATCACCAGCCCTTTTTATTTTTTATTTTGAGACAAGGGCTTGCTAAGTTGTCCTGGAACTTTTGATCTTCCTGCCTCAGCCTCCCCAGTTGCTAGGTTGCTAGGATTAGAGGCATGCCACCAAAACCAATTGGTTTATTTTTCTTATCATAAACTTTTCCTAAGTTCTGTCCAGAGTCAATTAATTTTCTTTATTGATTCTTTTTATTTTCCTAGTCATTGTAAGATTGTATTGTTTATAGTGTTTTCTCCTATGACCAAGCTCCCAATATATAATTTAGTTTGTTTTGTTCTTTTTAATTATGTGCTCCCAAATGTTTTATTTAAAAATGCTATGTTACCACTCTTACGCATTAGGTATAAGTCATGGCATAGAAGAAAAAGAATTTGTGCCTTTTTAAACCTGAAAGAAAATTATGAAGAAGAGAAACTTTTTTTGGTAAACCTGAGAAGTGAAACCAAGTCCAATTGTTACTTGCTGTCAGAGGCCAATTTTAGAGAGAGAGAGAGAGAGAGAGAAACTGAACACATTTCTAAAGGCAAGCTGCTTTGAAGTTGGACTCTCAGTTGGACTTTGATGTGTTAGGTTTGTTTTTTGCAATGTACTTTTTCATGCACCGACAAGTTGTTGAAGCAACTATTCAAATACCAGCTGAATGGTTGAATTAGATGACAGTTATTCTCTTCAAACACTCAGCTTTCATTGGTTTCTCAGCAGTGGTGATGTTTTTTAATTGATCCACCCATATTCTCGA